ATATATATGTATGCATACATATATATACATACATACATACATATACATACATATACATATATATGTATGCATACATACATATCCATACATATATGTATGTATAAATATGTATGCATACATATTTATACATACATATATATACATATGTGTATGTATGCATACATATATATGTCTATATATATACATATCTACATATACATATATATATATATACGTATCTATACATATACATATGTATATATATATATACATATATATAAGTTTAGCAATTAGGCTTGTGTATGCATACCGAGCATATCCTTTGCACACTCGCCCGCGTATATAGTAATATACACAATAATATATAAAGTAAATTAAATAAATTTAAGTAGTATAATTTTAATTTATGCTTAACATTTATATATATTTAAATTAACTATAATAAATTTATAATTTTAAAATTAATTTTTATTCTATATAAATTAACACATTATTAAATAAATTTTGTTATATATTAACCTATTAAAACTATATTATTAAAAACTTAATATTATATATATTTTAAGTATTTTTATAAGTTAATATTTAACATTTATTAATTTAAAATTAATGTTTTTTTTTATAAATTGCGTGAATAACACCACCAAACACTATGAATCAACTGCCGACAAAAGACGCGAATACTGCCTCGAATACCACCACAATAACAGTTGAATACTACCATAAATAACACCATGAATCAACGCTGGCAAAAGGAGCGAATAATACTGCGACACAATAAAACCTTAAAACTACCGCAAATAACACTGGGAACAACACTGAGAAATTAACATAAGCACGACTGCGCGAATAATATCGCAATAACACATCAAATACCTCTGCGAATAACATCAAACACGTGATCACGCGAATAATACCACAAATAACACCTCGAAGAAAACCACGAACAACACCAGACGCGTGACTGTGGGGATGACAGAGCCGTAAATAATTTTCTACGAAGGAGGACATGGGGTAGAACCTACGGGCAACATGTAATACAAAAGGAAACCAACTTATTCCACAACACTTCCGAAGATGGAGAAAATAAATACTAATGTCTTTGTTTTCAAAACACCCCGCAACAATTTTGCTGGCGCCAAACGAGCCTTAAATCTTAAAATTTTGAATCTCTTTTAACTTCCAATATCCGAAAAAATATTACATCAGGACTCCGCACGTAGAGTTACATGTGGAGTCGAATGAAATCACGTCCGTAGAAAAAAAAATCTATCGGTAACACAAAGTAATATTCCTCTCGTGTTATTCAGGACTTATTGTGTGTTATTCTGGTGTTATTTAAATATTATTGATATGTTATTATGCTATTATAACATCAGAATATTCCCATAACACAATAACACTTGAATAACATACAATAATATACGAATAACACGAAATAGTACGAGAGGAATATTCTCTGTTATTACCGGGCCGATCAATTCTAGGGTGTAATTTCATTGGACTCCACATGTAACTCTACGTGCGGAGTCATGATGTAATATTTTCAAAACCTTAAGACATTTAATAAAAGCTTCTTAAAATCTTCCAAATTAAGATAAGATTAGAGAGTCCCGCTTCACACATTAACCATCCGTTTAAGTTCGCGGTGTTGCTTGGATCACTTATTTTTCTTCAACCTTTTCCGTCGCCACCAACTGATTGAATAGTTGTGATGTTGCTGAGCTTAGCGGTTCCCGCCTCCGCGAGGAGCACGAATGCCCGATTTCACCCCATCTTTTCTGCTTATTCGACTTCCATCCGCCCCTCCTTCCTTATCCGGCGAACTAGGCCTGTTGGAACCTTAAACCCAGCCCCAACTGCCCGCTGTCGACTCTTTGTTTGCACGGCCGCCTCGTCCTCGTCGCGTCAGCCGCAAGTTGATTTGCGCGAGGCGAAAGCGAGAGGGAATTCGATGGGGTGGGGGAAGGTCTCTGGCGTCCTCTTCGACATGGATGGAGTTCTTTGCGATAGCGAGGAGCCCTCACGAATGGCCGCTATCAGCGTTTTCGCTGAGATGGGAGTCTCCGTCACTGCCGATGACTTCGTGCCCTTCATGGGGACTGGTATCTTCACTTCTTCCCATCCAAGGTCATAAAGTTAGCCACCATCTCTTTATCTCCATCGCCTATGCTGATCTCCTTAAAATCTAACGGGAAAGAAACTATCGTTATTAGCCAAATGCAACCGCTTATCTTTACAAATCTTAGCAGAGTTTACATGTCAAGCAGTGACATGTTTTTTAAAGGATAACAAATGAATCCTTTTGTGTAATGACAGGTGAAGTAAATTTTTTAGGAGGTGTTGCTTCTGTGAAGGGGGTTAAGGGATTTGATCCCGAGATAGCGAAGAAAAGGTTTTTTGAAATTTACCTTGATAAGGTGACTGTTGGCACTTTGACGCAGTATAAGCTGTTTCTTTTGTTTGCTTTTGTAACTGAATCTGATGATAGAGTTATATTTTTCTTACATAATTGCAGTATGCAAAACCCAATTGTGGCATTGGATTTCCAGGGGCTTTAGACATCATAATGGCGGTATAGTTGATGTATTTTTTGCGTGCAAGTTTGAACATTACATTTTTGGTTTTGGAGAAAAGTTAAGAATCTGCCGCTGCTATAATATAGTGCAAGAGCAAGGGCCTCAAGGTGGCCATTGTGTCAAGTGCTGACCGGATAAAGGTTGATGCAAATCTGGCTGCTGCTGGCTTGCCAATGGCACTGTTAGTGTTCATATTCCCACCGTTTTAATAATATACCGAGCTCTATTGGTTTGATCTTTACATATTATCAAATTGATGCACCAACTCCATTCTTTCATTTTTATTATTTCTAAATTTCACAATTAATAATATGACCTTGAGACTTGACTTTAAGGAGTTTCTTGAGATGAGAACAAATTCAGAAATTGTAGATATATGATGATATTATTTGGTTTCTGGTTTCTTCTTGACTTCGCTTGAAGTTTTTGTTGGTATTTGTGATGGTATTGAGTGAGAATTTGAGATGCAGAGAATGAGTGAGAATTTGATTTGTATGCATGTTAAGTGCTGCAGGAAATTGAGCATTATAAAATTTAGCTCTGAAATGAAAGTGTTAAATTACCTCAGTTGGAAATGAAACCAACTTTCACAGTTCTGTTTCTTCCGTCTAACTATTTATATGGTAGATTGATTCCTGAATGTACAATAGAAAAATCTTGCCACATATTTAAAACTTTGTCGCATGATGGGGGTGTAATAATTTTAATTTTTAGTCGGGTTTTTTCAAACATGTGTAGAAATAAAAATATTTTTTTCTCTAAACTCAATTGATAGATGATAACTATTCTGCATATTTTTCATTTATATATTCAAACTAGCATGAATGGACTCATCAAATTGCAAAGTGTGATATATACACTTACAACACCTTGGCATCACAAATATATGCATGAAAGGTGTATATCACTTTTAAAAAGACAATTATGGTGGTATTTTTGATATGATAATAAAAATTTGATTGGTATGCATGTTATGTGCTGCGGGAAATTGAGCCTTATAAAATTTAACTCTGGAATGTAAGAGTTAAATTGCCTTCGTTGGAAATGAAACTAACTTTCACAGTTCTATTTTTCTATCTAATTATTTATATGGTAGATTGATTACTGAATGTACAATAAAAAAATCTTATCACATATTTAAAACCTTGTCATATGATGGGGTGTAATATATTTTTTTTCTAGTATGATTTTTTCAAACATGTGCAAGAAATAAAAATATTTATTTCTCTGAGCTCAATTGATAGAGGATAACTACCTTGCATGCTTTTTATTTACATTTTCTCACTTGCATAAATGGATCATGAATGGACTCATCAAATTACATGAAATGCATATATCATTTTTAAAAACAATGATGGTGGTATTTTTGATATGATTATAAAGATTTGATTGATATGCATATTATGTGCTGCAGGAAGTTGAGCCTTATAAAATTTAGTTATTAAATGAAAGAGTTAATAACCTGAGTTGGAAATAAAACTAATTTTCATAGTTCTATTTTTTCTATATAATTATTTATATGGTAGATTTATTACTGAATGTACAATAGAAAAATCTTGCCACATATTTAAAACCTTGTAAAATGATGAGGTGTAATATTTTTTTTTCTAGTATGGTTTTTTCAAACATGCGCAGGAAATAAAAATATTCTTTTCTCAGAACTCAATTGATAGAAGATAACTATCTTGCATATTTTTCATTTACATATTCCAAATAGCATGAATGAGCCATGAATGGACTCATCAAATTACAAAAAGGATATTTACATTTACAACATCCTGACATCACAAATATATGCATGCAAGGTGTTTATAACTTTTAAAAAGATAACGTTGATGGTATTTTTGATATAATAATAAAGATTTGATTGGTATGCATGTTATATGCCGCAGGAATTTGAGCATTGTAAAATTTAGCTATGAAATGAAAGAGTTAAATTACTTTTGTTGGAAATAAAATTAACTTTCACAGTTCTAGTTTTTCTGTATAACTGCTTATATGGTAGATTGATTGATTACTGAACGTAAAATAGAAAAATCTTGCCACATATTTAAAACATTGTCACATGATCGAGTATAATTTTTTTTCCTAGTATGATTTTTTCAAACATCTGCAAGAAATAAAAATATTTTTTTCTCTAAACTCACTTGATAGAGGATAACTATCTTACATGCTTTTCATTTACATATTCCAACTAGCATGAATGAACCATGAATGGACTCATCAAATTACAAAGTGTGATATTTACACTTACAACACCTTGGCATCACAAGTATATGCATGAAAGGTGTATATCACTTTTAAAAAGGCAATGATGGTGTTATTTTTGATATAATAATAAAGATTTGATTGGTATGCATGTTATGTGCTGCCGGAAATTGAGTCTTAGAAATGTTAGTTCTGAAATGAATGAGTTAAATTGCTTCAGTTGAAAATGAAACCAACTTTCACAGTTCTAGTTTATTTGTATAACTATTTATATAGTAGATTGATTACTAAATGCACATTAGAAAAATATTGTCACATATTTAAAACCTTGTCACATGATGGGGAGTAATATTTTTTTTCTTAGTATAATTTTTTCAAACATTTGCAAAAAATAAAAATATTTTTTTCTCGAAACTCAATTGATAGAGGATAACTATCTAATATGGTGTAGTGGTTTGTTGTGGTAGTTTGCCCTAACTCGCTTGGTGCTGTGGTGTGGTGATTTTCTTTTGGTAGATTTGTTTTTGGAGTGTTGTTCTTGTGGTGGGGCTTGCATCTATAAATGGTGTTATGGTGTGGTTTGCATGTTTGGTGGAGAGGGTTTAAGTGAGGTGTTGTGGTTTGTGTGTTGTTTGTGGTTTGGATGTGCTATTGTAGTTTGTTCGGAGGTGTGGAGGATTTAGGGCCCGTTTGGGGTAGCTTATAGGCGTGGAGGATTTAAGGCTAGTTTGGAAAACACGTTTGGACATCTTATCCAAAAATGCGGTTGGGTTTTTACACTAAATGCAGGTTGCGGGTGAAGGCCGGCCACCAACGGGCCTCTTTTCAGGATAAACTGCTTATCTGGATGAGCACAAGCTGCCCCAAATGCACCCTTAGGAAGGTGTGGTGATGTGTGGTATGGATGTCCTATTGTGGTTGGTTGGTGTGTGGAGGGTTTTGGGAGGTGTGGTGATTTATGTGGTGTTGTGTGTAGATGTGTTATTGTGGTGGGTGTGATGGTGTGTGGTGGTGTGTGGTGGTGTCGTGTGTGCATGTGCATACTTTGTTGCATTTTTTATTTATGTAACATTGTTTTTTCCATCATAATAATGCAAAAATTTAGAGCAATAAGGTTGGTACACCCGCATTCTAGGATAGAAATCAAAATAATTTTTTGTGACCTTTGCATCAACGAGTTCGATCTGGGAAATAGACCTGCAACTTATTTCAACAAGGAAAGATGACAAAATATTATCAGAAAATTCAAGAAAAATATAGATAGAGAATATGATAAGATGCTATTAAAGAACAAGTGAGATCAACTCAAAAAGGATTGAAAAATTTGGAAGGAATTGAAACGAAGATTAACGGGTCTGGGGTGGGATCTGGTGAAGCGAACCATTGATGCCATCGAGGAATGATGGGTAGAAAAATTTTCGGTAAGTATTTTTGACATGTCCCCTAATTTGGTCAGTTTCATTTTATTTTTAAATTAAAGAATATGTTATGAATTTGTAGGTAGTGTCCGCTGCAAAGAAATTTAAAATCACTGGACCCGATCTCGAGTTGGAGAAGTTGGATCAAATGATTGGGGGTGTCGTCGTTACATGCAACAATGCATGTGCCTCCAGTGAGACCAGATTTGGTGTCACCCCCGAGAACTTAGGAGCCACCAATCGGGTGATTCTGCCGAAGTCCTCAGCCCGGACCTCCATGAACTTGAGTCCACCTGTCGTTCTAAGTGTCCGCGGGCTGAAAATAAAAAGAAGGTTTAAGCTGCTTTCCTTAGAAGCTAGATATCACAACTGGTGGCTTCATGAAGCAAATTCTGAATGCAACTAGGAAAATTTTTGAGGATTTGTCACTCTTATATTAGTGATGCATATATGTTCATTGTGTGCTAAGTAATCTTATATGATTACAGCTAATTCATTGATGCTTCTGTTTTTGATAGTGCGATATTAATCTATATGGACGCATCCAGAGAAAGATGCAGGAGAGTTGCAGCTGCCATATGCTTGATGTATGAATATTATAACTCGTACATAGATTGCTCCCCTTGTATGACATCCTCATATGTTGGGGACAAATAGGTTGGGGAGTTACTTGCGGGTCACCCAATGAAATTTATCATTATGTTCCGCATGACAAACAATTTTCATCGATTTGTTGGAGGAACTACATAGAAATCATCGACTTTATAACCTTTCCAGGACGACTTCGTGAGTGGTGTTGGCGCTAACCCCCTACATATTATCACAAAATGAATCAATTCAAGGACCAATTGGGCGATTTTAACACTTATCTGAAATAATTTGCAGACACTTCTCAGTAGGGTTGAAGACAATTATGAGTTTTTCTTCACAAGCCATAAAACTAACAGATTTTATGTTTGAACGGACTCCACAGAAATTTCACACCATGCACGATTCATACCGTTCTTTAAAGTAATCTCTTAAATTTATTATATTCAATTTTCAGAAGAACAAGATTATTAATAACCCATTGTTATCTTTCTAGAATTGTATTGAAGCAATCGATGGAACACACATTGATGCACGTGTTCCAAATAATGAGAAAATCACATTTATTGGCCGTTGCGGGTCTCCAACGTAGAATGTCATGGCCGTATGCGACTTGAACATATGCTTCACTTTCGTTATGGCCGATTGGGAGGGCAGTGTACATGACTGAAATTTTTCAAAGCCGCAAACAAGTCTAACTTCCCACATCCTCCCACATCTACGCTTGAGACCCAACTACTCTCGTACTTCAGTTTTTTCTCAATACTAATCATGCAATACATATAAGGTAAATGCTAATTGGTTGATGCTGGATATTCGTTGCAGTGAGGGCATCTCAAGCCCTATTCCTATACGAGATACCATATACCTGAATTTGAGCGAGCAAACAATATAACAAGAGACAAAAAAGAAATGTTCAATAGAAGACATTCCTCCATACGCGCTGTCATTGAGTGGACTTTTGGTG